CATTAACATTCCCACTAAACATTCCCAGTAAATATTCCAATTTTATTACATTTGTCCCAAAATAATGCCATGTCTCCCATATATTTGTTCAACTAATTATTTTTATACACCCACACAATCTTAAACAACTGTTTTATTTAATTTTATTTTCATGAGTTCATATCGAGTTGGCCCATCTTGATTGATGGCTGTGATCATGTGACTGGGAAAAAAAAATGGTCTCCAGGGTTACCGTAAATGTATTATATCCAAATGGGGTCACAAGCCAAAAAAGGTTGGGAAAAACTGGATTAGACCGTCCGGACTGGTCCAAACCCCGGGCCTTATATTTGACATCATTGAAATAAATGAACTACTTTCAATAATGGATAAACATATCCATATTTATTGAGATCACTTACCAGTTAATAATAACATGTTAATCTCCTGTCTGTGCTCTAATGTCATGCATTAAATCGTATCATTTCCTCTTCCTTGAACCTAAAACCACTGCAGATATGACATGATTTTTTTTTAAATTTGTTACCTGATCATACTGAACACTGAACATTAGTTAATCTATTAAACACCGTTTTTCCACACAGTTTATCCTCACCAATCTGGGAGCAGAAGGAGCAAATGTAGAAGTAAAAACACACAGCAAAGCATGCTGTGTATTTACGTTCTGGTATTATGTAGTGTAGGGTTCGCCCATGCTGCTCTGCTGACCTTCAGCATGAAATGAAGAGTGTCTGATGCCTCTGGTGTGTTTGGAGGGGCTTTCTCTTTTGCGAAGATGGACAGCCATGCATTATTGATTAAAAAACACTCCTGCCAAGCTTTTTCACCTTTCAAGCACAGCTTTATTGTACTTTTATTTTAGAGCGGCTGGGATTTAGTTTGTGTTAATGTGTGCACGTAATTCACTGGTTTTGTTTGTGAAAGCCTTCTCCACCCACATCCCCTCCTCTGTCTCCTTCTCCTTCTCTTCCTCCTCCTCCCTCTGACACCCAGGGGGGAGTCTAAATGGGAGATATGCAGAAACCAATCCCTTATCTGCACACATCCCTCTGCACTGTACGCTGACAGTGAACTGTACAAGACAAAAGACAAAGGTAGGCAGAGAGAGAGAGAGAGGGAGAGAGACAAACTAATGTGAAACAAAGGAGTCTGAAGAACAGACTGTTGGTTAATGCAGCTACAGAACATTCTCATTATATAACAGATATTTCATTTGATTTTAAACCCTGAACCTGTGTGTGTGTCTGTGTGCAGTTTCAGAACACATGTCTGTTTATTGGGACACATGGAAATGCACAGGGGAATTGAATGCATTTCTGTATTTTAATATGGTGCTATTGCAGAGGCTGTGTGCAGACAGCAACACCACATTGTGCTTTATATTAATTCTCATGTTTCGCTCCATGACTCTTGGATGTTTCATATTCATTTGCCAGTATTTCACTGTTATTCTAAATATTTTCATTTCATTTTGCATTTCATTTTCCCTCTGCCGACATGACATTCCTGCAGCAGAGAGCCATGGGTTTGGAGAGTGTGGCTGAGCATGGCCTTACATCCCCAGTCCCCCAGTGAGGCTGGTCACGGGGGAGGACGCCCATGGTGACCATGGCTGTCAGATGCTGTTGCCATGATGCCGATGAATGATTGGTTTCATGGGTGCGGACATTGCTCTTTGACAGCACACTGCCACACCTGGGAGAAGAAGCACTGGCAGGATGTGAAATGTTACTGAACAAGGTCATTCCAAGGGTTATGGTAAGACCTGTCATTCGTCTCCCCACCCACCATGGAGGAATTTACAGCTGGGCCAAGAGCTACATGTGATGAATATTGGCACAGAATTTAGCCTTTGTTTTGAGAAGTGAGTTTTACCTGGTCCTTGTCTGCCTTTGGTGGTCTTGTAATAAGCCTTAATTTAAAAGCGGAAAAAAAAACTTAATGTGAAACAAAAAAGGACAGCTTTCAATCAATGGTTGCCTCTCCTCTTCCTAGTTGCAGCCTGGTGTCATTTATTATAAATTAATATTTTTATATTGATTAAAAAGAGAAAAAAAATCTTTAAAAGTCTAACATGAAATAAATACTACGTCATATGCAAACTAGCTCCAACTCTGACTCACGTCTGAGAGGACTGCTCACTAATGCTTCCATTGTTGGTGAGGCTTGTTAGCCTGACTGACAAGACCTAATATAGGACACAGAAAAGGCAGATCCATTGCTCTCTTTTCGCCTCTCAGCAGGTTTTTCACAACATGACTTTAGCATGTCTCCTTCCTGACAATTCTCTCCCAGAGCCCTTGACAATTTTAATGATTGATCACTGCCGTCTCCACCGTGCTTTGGAGAAGGAGAGCAGATCACGTTGCAAAAATAAATAAATAAATAAATGGGAAAAAAGACAGTGAGAGGGAAAGGAGAAAGGAGACACAGACCATTCCCACAAGGTCAGAGTGATGTCCACTCTTTTGTTTTCATGGTGAGAATCAGTGGCCTGTGCAACCACCAGGGGCACAGGCAGAAATGGCGGTGTGGCAGGAACAGATGTTCTCACACAATGAACATGCACTCGTTGGGTTGTTTATTCACCAGAAGTCAAAGGGACTGACCTCTGTTTTTGAGAAGCAAAAAAAAAAGAAGAAAAAAATCCAGGGAAAAATCAATGAGCTTCCACCTGTAGGGCTGTTTCATGCAGAAAAGGACAACTATGTTCTATATAGTATCATTTACAGTACATTTACCTACAATATATATAGATATCACATAAAGGCATCAACTGTACGGACACCAAAGTGTATTAAAAAAACAGGGAACCAAGTTGCTTGTCTCTGTAGTTGTCAAAGTGAAAAATACAAAAATGAAAAAACAAAACAAAACAAACAAAAAAAAAAAAACCCAATAAATTCTGTGTTAGTTTTTATTCAGCAAAAGGACATAAAATTTTACTGACAAACTTTATTCTTCTGGCTAAAAACACACACATTTTATCATTATATTTATGGAACAGAATGATTACAAGTGAGGACAGAAAGCCAGAAAGACTTACACAGACTTATACAGATTTCACTGTAGGAGGTTCCCCTGTTAGCAGGTGCAACAGGTTTGGGTATTAGTATTGTAAAAGGAGCGTCAACCAAAGGCCTGGTCTTTGAATAGGTTGAAGCTTCTGACCTTGGGGTAAATAGTTATTTGTTCCATAATAATTTAAAATTTGTTAAACAAAAAGAAATAATTTTCCTTGTAAAAAAAAAGGTCAAAGAACAATTTGTATGTTGTCATTTTAGTTAATTATAATGTTTAAAAAATACACCACATTTTACAATGTTATGTTTTGTTTTTGACAAACATCCATGTTGACATTTCTACTTTACACCTTAAGCATCACATACATTTTCCTGAGTACAGTTCCAAAGTACATACATACTGTGTACTGCACATACTATGTTTAGCATATACGTACACTCTGCCTGCGTGATCTGAATAGAATATTTGAGGTCAATTATTTACCTGCTCGCTCAGAAAGTGCCAGCAGTACGAATTGCGAAGTAAGGTGGAGGGGAAAATAATTTTCCCCTCAACACAGCTTTTTAGAAGACTGACAACAGTGGAAACAGCTTCTCAACTGGAGCATGCAGGTTTCCAGCAATTGCATTTCATGGCAATTAGCTGGGAGTGAATAAACATAATTCACTCTGTGCATCACACTGCAAATGTTGTCTGCACAATAGCCCTTGTGAAAAAGAGTACAACTTTCAGTAAAGGTAGTGCCTAATTTTTAAAGAATTTACCTCTAACTTATATTTTTATATATCATTTTGTAGCACTGATCCGGTTCAATCTTTTGGAAGTTATTGTTTTTGGCCGCCTAGATGATTAATTAAAATTAACTTAGAAATACACACACTCAAATATGTGTTCTGCTTCAGAGCCCTGTTCTGAAGCTAGTAGTCATGTGAGTGAAACATCCATTTCTTTGACGCAGTTCAGACCAGTAACACACTCCGGAACAGGAACAACCCCATTTCATCTGCACAGTCAGCTTGTTGGCATTTCTGGGATTATTGGCCCATAAATGGCCAAAACCATTCATAACTCATTGACTCCCTCTGCTGGTGACAGTAAAGGTATTTTACAGCTTGCTTCACACTCCGTTGGAAAAATCAATAGGATTCTTTGCAAGGCACTTAGTCGTGAGTGCAAACTAACATATCGCACATTATGATGTTTTTTATGTCTGATACTTCTAAAGTGCTTTTCCTGTGTCTACGACACATTATATGTATTTTTTTTTAAAATATAACTATAAAATAACCAAATTTAGTAAAATTGAGAGAATCAACGAAACCAAAACTTACCAAAAATAAAGGTGTAATCAGGATTTTTTTTTTGCATAAAAGTATCACTGATTTTAACGACAGAGGCTTTTAGATTTTAATCAGAGATATGATATACGGAAGACTTAAATAGGGAGCATTAACATTTTTTCTTAACCAGAAAATAGTTATAAAAAACATTTGTGTGTCCTTATGAATGAAATTAGCGTGCTGCAACTGCATCGTTGATCATACAAATGAAATCCACAAATATAAACTATATTATGTATTATTTACATTATTTTATTAAGTATAAGCCTTTTTATTTATTTTTAAGTTAACCACGAGCTGCATCCTAGTAGCTGTGTGTGTGTTTTGTTTTCCTGTGGACATTCAATGAACCAAACGGTAGATGTCTCCCTACTCCGTGCAGCTCTGACTCTTTACGGGAGAGCTGCTGGTGTCTGTAGATGACCGAGTCGCCATTTTGAAAAGCAAATTGTTCACAGCACACCCGCCCTCAGAACTGGAACTATGCCGCGGGGCCGGCCTCGCAAACTGAGAGTTAAAAGCAACGACGGATCAGGTAACAAGTTTCAAAATGCAAAGAATAAAAAATATAGAATGTAGGATATCCATATGTCCGGCCATTAATTTGACAAACGCATCTGTAGCGAATATATTAACACTTGAATGCAGTGTATATAGTCCCCGGATATAGTATTGACGGTGGGCTTTGCTTTGTACGGCGAAGGAGTGATTGAGGCGGAATGATATTAATAACATTTCGGTGCCTCTTCTTATTGGCTTCCAGTCTAAATTGGTGTCCACGACGAAAACAACAGCGATGTCATTTAACGATACTGGACGCGTGATGTTTTAGACTAAGGTGTATTTAATAAAGCAACTCTACCTTAGCATTGTCGCTGCTAACTAGCTTGCTTTGCTACCATTAGCCCCAGAGCTAAGTCGTTTGAATGTTGGCGTCTGGTACTTTTGTTGTCTGTTCACACTGTAGGGAGTTCGTAGCGTATGTCCAGCTGCCAAAGCAGCAGTTGTGTTTGTGTGATGCGTGTAGGTGTACGTTGTCGGAACAAGTTTCCACTTGAGAGTTGCTAATATCTTTCCGTTTAGATCTGTCTACAAAATCGAACTCTTCTAGCAAATCGGGGGTAAAGATACAGGTTAAACGGACGTTAACATCAGTGACAGAGGGATGTGAAATGTAATTAAACCAGCACCACCAGTAACAAAATTAAACGCTCTGAGTTATTATTATTTTTTATTTTGTCTGAAAAAAACAAACAAACCAAAAACGCCAAAACAACCCAAATTGCACGGAGGCAGTAACTGTGACAGTGGCATCGGCCACAAGTACTATGAAAGATCCATGAATAGTCGTGAGTTCTTTTTTTGTCATAAAATAAATCTTGTTTGTTTTTGTTGTTTTTTCATTTACTGGGTATCTTATAGTAAGTTACATGGCGTGCATAAATAAAGGAAATTGTATATATATATTTGGAAAATGTATATAAAGCACTGCAGAGACTATGGATATGAAAGATTAAAGAAAATTCTCTTAGTGTCATTACTATAAATGAAGATTTGTTTTTTTAAACCATTAATAAACACTTCAAGTGTTTCAGTTTGTTAACTGGTATTCTTTTGAATAAGTTTTAACAGCAATTATTTTCTGTCTTTTGAATTGTTTTATACAATTCTGCTTTTATTTTGTACCAGCATTAATATTTTTTTAATAGCATAACATCTTTGTATTTTAGCTACTATTTTGCTCTTAGCAATAGCAAATGTTTTGCTATTTATTTTTGTTAACTTCTTTCATTTTTACTTATGTTGTACTTTTTGACTACCCTTTTGCTGCTCCTATTCTGATTTAGTAAACAAACTATCATGGATAAACATACATTCTCTCTAAACAGATACTATGGGAGTGAAGCTTGTTATTTTCATAGTTTTTTATGCAGCAGTAACATTTTCTGGCTGGGTCCTCAAAAAAATAAATGTTTGAATTTAGAGAGCAATTTTTCCAAGAGAGCAAATCTTTCCACAGCAATCATAAATCCTAACCCTGCAAGGTCCCATTGTGTCTTTAGTATACGGTCACATATATCTTATACAATGACTGACAAGCACTGCCAAGCCGAACTTTAGCCGATAGCTTCTGGTTTTAGAGAATATTATTTCAACAAATGGTGTTTTTTAAAAATATATTCTCGATACCTACCTCCTGTTGTCTAAAGAAAAAATTTTGAATTAAAATATTTTATTGTTTCCTTTTTGTACATTTTATCAGAGGCTGATCCTAGTGATGCAAAAGTGGAAAGTTTCAGTGATGGAGAACTCAAGGAAAAGAAGTGCACGATATGCGGTCAGATCCTCAGCACGGAGAGCCAGCTGCAGAAGCATCTTCGCGAGCATGAGGTCAATGACAAGGCAAGTGCTGGCATTGCTTTGCCTCATTTGTCTTATAACAGGAAAGTGAACAATGGCATATTTAACCTTAAGACGAAGGTGATTACAGAATATACAGTCCCTTTTACTTATTAATTTTGACTTGGGTTCTTGAGTTCTTTTGATCAACATTAAATGAAACTCACTGCTGTATTGAAGAAAACTGTGAGAAGTAGTCTTTTTTTTACGTTTGGAAAATAAAAAAATAGAAACCACATGTTTAATTTGTTGTTTTTGTTTGGTAGTCTCAGACTATTAACTTGGTGTCCTGTGTTAAATGGTAGCTGCCCTAACACTTTCAGCCAACATAGTAAATGATCTACTCTCTGTTTTGAGACCTCCTTATCTTAGTGCACATGAGTTTTGCATAACCATACAGTCCTGTGTAAACAGCCACACCTATAGTTGAATTTCACTGCACTAGATTATACACCACCAGAGAAACTAGAAATCCATTTGAGAAGGTTTGGTAGCAATAATTAAATAATTTGCCCTGTTTTAGTGACTAATTGGGTCATAATCATATGGACAGTTTTGTAAATAAAAGCCTTGTAAGGCAAAATATGCATCAGATGAGTATTACTGCTGTTGTCTGTTACACAACTAAAGTTGTTTCTACAGATCTATTGTTGGAATTTAACTGAAAAGGGAGAAGTATCATATCACCCCCCCACAACCCCAGGTCTTACTGTAGCAGCTAGTAGTCTCCTCAAAAAACACTGTAATTATCACTAAGTGTTGAAACACAGCCAAGTCTCCTGCAGTGGTCTGTCTGTATCTGTCTGTATTTAGTGTCTATTCGTATGCAGTTACTGCTTGAGTCAGCAGAAAATTTAGAGAGTTCTGCAGTCTCTTTTTAATTCTCTGAGCCAATTCCTGATCTACAGTGAATGTTTAGTTAGGTCATTTTGATATATTGTATAAAAGATTGTGTTTCAAGGAAGAAATACTTTTCAGTGAAATATTGTTTAATAAATTTTTATTATGCAGGTCTGGAATATGTGCATTAAACTGCAACAAAATGTTTATGGCACCAATTCTGGTGTAACATTGAGACAGTTCCCCTAACTTTAATAGGTCCGTGACCTTTTTTCTGATTGGTCAGAAATTTTACAATTACTACTTTATCACGGGTTTTTGTCCTTATTAGATTGGTTTGGGAATATTTATTCAGTATTTTTTGTTCCTTCTTGTTATAGGTCTGTTAAAAAGCTGCAATGATAAGTCGACCAATCAATGACTAAATAATTGTATTTAGATAAAACTGTAAACAATTTTATCTTGTCATTTCACAGTGTTTTGGACATTGGTTAACTTTTCTACACTTATGGACATTGTGATGAAGTCACTAATGTTACGTACATTTATCTTATTAATCAAATGGTCCTTTTCTGTTCGCAGAAAGACAAAACTCTGAGTTAAAACCAGGTTACGAGCATTGTTTTGCTCAGCATTGTGAAAACTAAATTCCCAAATAAGTTTATGCTTTAAAAACCTGAACAATATCCGTCTGTCAGGTCTACAATGAACGATACAATTGCTGTTTTCTTCTGACTTAGTATGTCCTTCAAGCATTTCAAGTTGCAAACTGTTTGAAAAAGCAGTATGAATTGCTTCTAGTTGTTGAAACTACACAATTTCCTGTTATCTCCACCAAGATTTAAAGCAGCAGCTATAGCTGCACCTCAGAACTACATGCTAAATCTTTCAAACATCTGTTATTTACCACCCTCTGAAGTTGTTTCACTCTATTTTCTCTCTGTTTGCAGCCTCACCGATGTGACCAGTGCCCGCAGACATTCAATGTGGAGTTCAACCTCACTCTCCACAAGTCCACACACACCACCTCGGACTTCACCTGTCCAACATGCAATAAAAAGTTCTCACGCATCGCCAGTCTCAAATCTCACATCATGCTGCACGAGAGGGAAGAGGTCAGTCCCCTCACTAGTTGGCCATCAAGCTGTCACGATTTTATTTTCTCTTTGTTCACCTCAGACCTTTTTGTGTGTTTTTGCCTCTTCTTCTTTACTGTGTAACGACCCCTGCAGAACCTGATCTGTGTAGAGTGTGGAGATGAGTTTATTCTCCAGAGCCAGCTCTCTCTGCACCTGGATGAGCACCGTAAAGAGCTGTCAGGCGTCAAGGTCTACACCTGCAAGACCTGCGACAAGGAGTTCAAGACGTTTGCGCACCTCAAGGAGCACACCAAGACTCACGTCAAGATGAGGTCAGACAGGGCTTCACGCGGGGGATTTATTACATTTGACTCAGTCGGGTGGAAAAAATGATCAGCGTTAAGGGGGAAACACGAATCTGGCAAGCCGTGAAAAAAGGGAATTAGAAGGATCATGGTCTGAATAAAAAGTCAAAAGTCAACCACTCTGATGCCAAATGTCTTCTGTCAGTAGCTGCCTGTTAAAGCACTGCTTCTTATTATATAAATATACAATTTAACATTTAAAAGAATAATGCTATGATAATAATTTTTGTCAAATACTTGATGATGCTGGACTTGTTTTTAAACACTATACTGTTTAATTCTAAATAACCAATCACATTTAGTGAATTCATTCATAAATTGTAAGCAATAAAGTTTCATAATGTTCCTAGGATGTGTGTTTAAAGGTTAAAGCTGACTGCTCATTGATGTAATATAAAAGCTTAGATCAATATTTGTTTGGGGAAAACAGTGAAACAAAAATAGCAAAACAACAGAATAATAACAACTGTTTACTGGTAATTTTCAGCTGTAATTCTATGATTTTTGGCCATTAGATTGTATGTTGTTAACTGTATGTTATTTATTAGTGTTGGTCAGATAAAAGTTCTGATGATATTGTGAAGCATTAATTACAATTATCATAACTAAAAAAAGACATCTTTTTGTGTTTTGTTTCCTCAGACCGCTCACCTCCAGTTCAAGAAACTACAAGAAAAACATTGATCGCAGCGGTTTCACCAACAGCTGCCATCACTGTGGAAAAGCTTTCAAAAAACCGAGTCAGCTTGTGAGACACATACGAATACACACAGGTGAGAAAGAAATACTGCAATATCTTCATATATATATTTGTGTGTTCGTTCATGTGTATTTTAAACAAGAATAATTAGAACTGACTCTTGTCACATTAGAAAATATATCAGTAACACTTAGGATAAAATATATAAAAATAATAACAACACAAATTAAGATAAATGGAATAAAAACCCGGCATTGTCAATGGGTTGCATGAACAGAAAGTGAGCAGAGCTTTTACACCAATAATGCCTTTTAATGGAAGACATTGCCTCCTACTGGTTGTGATGAAAAACCTTTATGGAGTATAGGGTTGCTGGATAGGCACATCTTTTCTAGTGCCGACAACAGGTATTGGTATTGAAATTAGGATATCCTGAGTTAGGTTAAATCCTACATCTCAACTCAGATCTGTCTCTCTGTCTGACGTTCGCTGCCATGCAAACACATGAACCCATGTGTTTGCATGCTCATTGCTATCACAGTATAACAGGCTGCAGGCTCTGGAGAATTTAAAATATATGCTCATCACTCCTCATATATTATGTATGTAATTGTCAGAGAATGGTGAAACGACAGTCTAAATTCCAAGCTGTTCTCTTATATGTTTTGCTGCTGCAATAACCATTTTAGAATGAGCTGTCTGACTGTAATATTGCAGATTTGGGGATTTGTGTTTAATGCAAGTTTTGTAAAGATCCCTGCAGATGTCTGATCGGTTACCAAACTTAAAGCGGAAGGTGTGGGTGGGCTCACTGGCACTAGGTTATAATGAATGGGAACTCAGCCTGCTGTTCCAAAGCAGAGGGTTAAGAGTACACCGGAATAATTTTATCAGCATGTGGGCTGCAATGGCACAATAATACTTTTTTTTTAAGTTATGAATCTCAGATTTTAATAGTCTGTGAAATGGATTTTGGGCATTGTTGTATAACAGAGGCTTGGTGTTTATCCTCCCATTCAGTTTTAAATCTGAGTTTTTCTCCAATCTTCTGACTCTTGGACATTTCACCACCTCAACCCCAGAGGAGTTGATGTGATTTCTCTCTTTTTGTGAGGGTGCAAACTTCAGATTATCTCTTTGCTGTCACACGGAGATGCTGTGTGGGTAGAATTTCAAGAGGTTGCTTAAATACACTTTGTGTACCTGTTGTAGTTGTTGTCTAGAGGCCTGAGTTCAGCTAGGCTCTGCCCACATGTTGTTTAAACATCACTCACATGTTTGCTTTGCTGCGTGCCTGGATGAAACACTAACAGCAGATAATGTTGATTTTTAGCTGTGCTTTGAATCTGTAACACCCCTTACACACATAGACATACACACCAGCAGACACACATAGAGGAGTCTGTAATAATTGCAGTGAGGGCTGCAGGTTGAACAGCTTGGTCTTCATACTGATTTCATTTTCAACAACAGCAGAAATAATTTTGTTTGATTTTGTCTGTTAGTTTTGTTTTTTTTTGCGTAGCCGTACTGTATATTTTGTTAAACCCCCATAGTGTCTTCCTGAATGCCATGACCTATAGTAGGTCTGGGGTCAAAAGTGACCCTACCCTGTTTTGATAGTCTTTTAAAGTGCATACTGTATATAAATTGACAATTAACAGTCAGAATGACCTTATGCACAAGGGTCAATTCTCAAAGGTTAATCCTCTTCACAGCATTAAACTCACTCTGTGTCGTTTCACTGTAGGGATGGTGTTCTATGGGTTATAACCCACTCCCTTTCTCTGTAAAAATAGGGATCCTTCCTGTACAAAGGCCGTTGTGAGTCGTCAGTGTACACTGTCTTTGTTCACACCGTCCTTATCTGCCTTATGTCTGGGCTCTTCAGCAGAAGTGATTTGTTTTTCTTTGTCTGTAACCTTAGGGTCCATGTCTGTGCAGGGCTCTTAATAATAATGACTGGTTATTTAACATTTAAATTCAACATCACTCACTAATAACTTTCATTCTTTGGTCTTTATATATTTATATATATATATATATGTATGTATATATATATATATGTATGTATATATATATATATGTATGTATATATATATATATGTATATGTATATATATATATATGTATGTATATATATATATATATGTATATATATGTATACATATATACAGTATATATATTAATTGAAATAAATTTAAAAACACTTTTCTCTCCAGATTTCTTAAAAAATTTAGGAAACACATTTCAGTGTAGTTATTGATTCTCTGAGACATTTTGATACAATTTTGATTGTTTCCTTCCTAGAAACCTCAGATTCTTTTTTTCAAGTTCTTGGTTTTGCCATTTTCATTTATTTTTTAACAAAATTCCTACATAGCAACTATATCTAAATTTTCAACTTAATTGAAGAATCATTATTAGGATGTTGAACATTGCTTTGTGCTTTGAATTGAAACAATTTATAAACCTAAAAGGTCTTTTAGCAAAATAATTGTTCTGTATGCAAAGTAAAGTAATCTGGGCCTCCTAAATAGTGAATGTTTGGAAAGGCTTGTTTAAATGCCATGCCATGTTTTAATTTTTCCGTTAATCATTTAAATAATTATTTGCCCTCCACCAATAAACTTCCTCCTCACACCCTAACCTGTTTTCTCAGGTGAACGGCCGTACAAGTGTCTCCACTGCAACAAGGCTTTCAACCAGAAGGTGGTGCTGCAGACTCACATGGTGAGACACACCGGAGCGAAACCTCACCTCTGCATATTCTGCCCAGCATCCTTCTCTCAAAAAGGCAACCTTCACTCCCACGTTCAGAGAGTACACTCGGAGGTGAGAGCACAGTATCATTAAATTCCACTGGTACAAATATTCCCATGTACACCCTGTGTAGAAAGTATCCATGTGTGACGTGAGTCCATCTGTGTGATTGTGTAGTTTGGTCACGGTGGCAGTAACCTCTGCTGCTAACACAGCTGTTTACTGTCAGTGAACAAGAGTCCCACTGCTACCTTTGGGTTTCATTTAATTAAGTTTTTATTTAAAAATGATAAAAAGAATGAACCAAACTAATTAAAATGTAGAGCTACAGGTTAAAAGGACTTTTCATTATACACTGACAATAATATAGTCATTATGGTAATGTTCTTTTGATGTTTGCAACTTTATCAACAGCACATGACAGAACGCCCAAGGAAGTGATTTATTTAAATCTACTTGTATATGGGATTAGTACTGCATTGCCTACTGAGGTGAATACATCTTGGTTTTCTAATTAATGCAATTTTATTTACCTAATGTTTGTCTTAAAATATTTACTTTTATCCTAATTAAAGATGTATTTCATCAGACCAGACAGCAACTTCATATAAAACCACGATCCTACAGCGTTTCTAAGCTCCAGTTGTAAATGTTTTTTGTATGAAGCTGACAGACGTTTCTTACGAGAGCTCAAGTGTAGATGTCGACAGGCTTCATTTCCAGGATACTACAAATTTAACCCTAATCTTGAACCATTCCAGCCACTTTTACCAAGCTAAAGGTGACGACTTACCCAAATATAGCAACATTGCCCCATCAAAGTAAAGGAGAGTGAATGAAAGAAACGCAACATCAAACGCCATGGCAGAGATCACAGACGTCACTGCTTTTTTAGAAATTCAGCAGCTGAAATGAATGCCAGCTGAAAAAGGTGCCCAGAACTTCTTGTGAGACCACAGTGTGGTTTTAGTACTGTACCACTGTAAAGACGACCAGCGTGTAGCATAGGATTGGCCTCCAGGCATTTTTACACTGGGGAAGTCAGTGTAATGAGCTGTTCTTCAGAGACATTAGAAAAGATTAAGTCCTGCCACCCACTGTAATAAAATATTGTACCTTTTATATGTTGAATATCGCATTTTTAATTCGGCTATTTCAGCAGCACTCTGCTATTTCCCATTTTTAATAAAAAAAACTGTTTAATATATTTTAGAAAAAGAGTAAATAAAAATTCCCTTCCTCCTAAACTTTTTCTCTGGACTAAATCACAGTGTTGATGTCGGCCATTTTTTTGCTTGCTAACAGGTCTGTGGTTTTCATGCTAAAAACCTGTTATGGGTCCAGATGATTGAATTAGTTTTGTAAAGCCAAACAGCAGGACAATTTGAATAATGCATCTAATTTACACAAGTGTTCTTCAGCTTTCCACCCGAGATAGAGGTTGTCCTGGTGATTGACTGACTTGATGAATAAATTATGGCCAGGCATTATTCGCAACAGATTTCATGAGCATCTGCATATTGAGGAGCCGAGGGAGCAGAGTCATCATAGTTAAAGCACACGACAACGTGTTTTTTGGTTTAGTGTTCCAGCATGTTGAGACTGTGTCATCGCCTGCATACGAAAATGCAGTTGCAAAAACAGTTAATTAATGCTGCAACTTTGTTTCACCCTTTGTTGGAACTAATTTCTAAAGTATTTGGTTTTTAATCAAGTATGTACAAACCTGTTTTTTTTATATTTTTAGTTAATTAATGTCTATTTATTTTTATACATTTCTGAAATGTTATATTACTCCACAGTTTTCCGCAGCTGTCTAGTGACACACTTTTTTCTACTCTTTGTTTATTGAAATTCAATACAAATTTATCTGTTTGCAGATCAATCCCAGCTCCAGAAAACATATCTCTAGTGTTTTGAATTTGGCTCTACGAACTTATTTTTGATATATTTTGGCTTAAAAATATATGCGTGATGATCATAGATTTTTTTAATTAACTTGTTGAACAGAAATGTGTACCTAGATTTGTCAAAGTTTTGTTGTGTGTCCTTTGTCCTCTTCCAGACCAAAGGAGTGTCTCTGTTCCCGTGCATGGACTGCAGCTGTGTGTTTAAAAAGCTTGGCAGTCTGAATGCCCATATCAGCAAGATGCACATCTCTGTGGTTGAAGTCCCCTCCGGCACTCCAGTAAGAGGACAACATGTATAAATAAAAAAACAGGAGAAAGTTACCCGTACTTTATTACATCATAAATGACTTTGGAATTTTTCTCTGACTTTGCTCTAACTGTTAAGTAGAAGATATAGAGATGGTGACACCCATTTATCGTTCTGATTAATGTTAGTACTGGAGTCTGTGACTGAATATTTTACTATGGTCTAGGAGAAGGAGTGTTAAGGGATATAAGACAGGTTTTAGTCTATTTTTTCCAATGTTTGTTGTTTATATGATGCTTATTTTTTATAGTTGGAATATATTTTTGACCTTGTTATCTGATCTTTTATTTCAGTAGATTGTCATTATACTTCTGGGGGGTAGCTTTATATGTTTTAATTATTTTTCTTCTGTTAAATGGCACAGAATCTTGAAGGAAGCATTTGTTTGTCATGAGTTATAAACCATGACAATCATCAATAACTACACATTGAATCCAACAAGATTTCAGCCATTGAATCAGAAGATTAAGGAGAAATGTGATTGATTTATTGACTGTTGATGCCAACTTGACTAATTTCAGTATAAAAATCCTGAGATAATTACAAAACACTGTACGGTAGATCAGATTTCAAAAGGTGTAGTAAATGAAATGAAAAATCTTCCACCTGATGAAAGTAATAATGACATTGGTTCAAACATACTGAATTAATGTACTATGTTGAAACTTAAAGGAAATCAAATGAATAAATAGTACTTACATGTTTATTTGAATATTTAAAAATAGGTTTTAAAAGACAAAGCAGAGAAGGCAAAATCAGCACCAAGGTCAGCTCCCCCTCATCATCATGCGCTATTTACAGGCTAGAGTAGAAACAAACAAGTGACCTTTGTGATTTGAATAACAACTAATAAGAGTAAGAGTCATTCTAAACAGGTGGGGTGCAATCTCAGAGAGACACTGAGAAGTATTTTTCCTATTTTGTGCTTCATGGCCATTTCTCTGTTAATTCATGTTTTCATCTTTTTTTGTTTTCATCCCCCATTCTTGCCCTCTTCTTCTTCAACAGGAGCCAGAGATGGCAGGTCAGGGTTCAGGAGTTTCAGAGGCAAGTGAGGGGGTGACAGATGTCATCCAGCAACTTCTGGAGCTTTCTGAACAGGTCAGTGGAGAGACGGCGCAGTCTCAACCTTCAGAGCCAGCTATTGCCATGGAAACTGCCATCAACCAGGACATTTTGCAGGTGAGTTGAGTTTGCACGTACGTATTAGAGTCTGAGAACAAAACCCAGCAGCACTGAAATCACTGCAGGCTGACAGAAGAGCACACGTCTCAGATTTAGTCATTACAATTCCAGAATTATTCAGTGTGCAACGTTTAAGTTCCTTTCTCATTTTATGATCATAGCTTCTGCAGTGGGAATATAGTGTAGAACAGAGTGATGTAAGGAGTACTACATAAATATCCTCAAATGTGTGTATTTTTGCAACCGCATTATATATATAGTCTCTCACATTACTACTTTCAGTTAGTAATTGAATGTCAGGATTTTTTATAAAGATGGATCGACCTACGCAAAAGAAATTATATTCTAGTAATAATATTAATATAAAATATAGCCTGGAAGGCCTCATTTCTTTAGTACGAAAAATTACCTCTTTCCTGCTGTTCAGACAGTGGGAATATTTTTGGTATTTATTCATAGTATTGTATTTATATAAATTATATATATTTTTCAGTGATGTTCAGTTTGGTTCTTTTGTTTGTCATGCATAGAAATCTCCAGACACACCATATTGTTTTTATTAATAATTAATTAATTAATAACAATATATTATGTGATCAAAAGATAATCATAATCAAAATACATGTATCAGAATCATGTTGACTTATTTGATGTTTATTTTATCCTTGTTGTTTACCTCCCTCGATTATCTTCTGTCTATGCAGCAAGCACTTGAAAACAGTGGGCTTAGTGTGGTCCAGCCGCAGGGTGATACCAGTTCTAGAGACACACAAAACCCAGCCACAGAGGGTGCTGCTGCAGAAAGCAAGAAACTTCATCTCTTAGACAAACCAGTCAGGGAGAGGAAAAGGAGCATTTTCAAGAAACCTGTTCAAATGCCAGGTAAAGAGAACATTTCCATGATGCCGTATGATGTAGTCATTAAAGTGCAGTAGGTGATCTTTGAATTCTTTGGAGACATGCTCAGAGTTTGAGATTTTTTCTTTTCATTTTTTACGTCAGACATCTGCAAACTGACTTTTTTCTGATCTATGTAGAATATTCCTTTTCACAGACAGACATCAACAGCCTTGGGCTACAGCACCAATTCATTCTTCATATATTTTCGCAGGCTCTATTAGAGAAGAGAATGGGGTTCGTCTGCATGGCTGCCCCTACTGCGCCAAAGAGTTCAAGAAACCCAGCGACCTTGTCCGACACATCCGCATCCACACCCACGAGAAGCCTTTCAAGTGCAAACAGTGCTTTAGGGCTTTTGCTGTTAAAAGCACCCTGACAGCACATATGAAAACGCATTCTGGTGTCAAGGCCTTCGAGTGTCAGCGCTGTCTCAAGTGCTTCTCCACTTCTGGCAGCATGAAGGTGCACATGCGATTGCATACAGGTGAGTTGATGGAGCTGTTGCATTCAAGCAGAAGTAAAATTAACATAGAGACTTTTTATTGCAGATGTTTGGTATTCACATCACGTTTTTTGATTACTAGAGTGAGACATAATTTAAATTTACCATAATTATACAAAGGTTTAAGAAGATGGACATTTGTGATTATAATTTTGCTTCCTCAGCTTTCAAAAAGCTTCCCAACATCCTAAATATGAAAGGTCATGTGAAAGGTGTATTTGAGTTTGTAATAGCCATTAAATAGAAATGAACTGTGTTGACTCTGAGATTTTGATGGCATGAAAAGTTTCATAATAGTTTCATGAATGTGAGTCGGTAGGAAAAAAACAACTTTATTTAACACCAATAGGCATTTGAGCAGCACTGTCAAATGATTATTTTATATTCTGATTAATCAGGTAGTAGCTGTGGATAACTCACAACTAATCATGAATAATGCAACATCTTTACTGTATAAAGAGGGAGTTTTTAATATGGGGAATTATAAATAAATCTAAGAAACTAAAACAGTTCTGAATACCTTATCCTCAACAGTATAAGGGTACTGTTTCTGTAAATCCAGTCAATGATTGTATCAGCCAACATAACCACGGTAGACTTACTGCCCTACACTCGATAAAGCTCTGGTGCCACACAGTTTAATCTCATTATTTTCAGAAGTTATTTTTGTGATCTACATGACATGCTGTGTTTTCTCCAGGTGACCGTCCTTTCTCCTGCCCTCACTGTGACAAGATCTTCCGCACGTCGGGCCACAGGAAGACGCACATCGCTTCACACTTCAAAAACCTGCAGCAGAAAAAGCACAGGTTCCCGCGGAAAACCAACAAAGCCAAAGTGTCAAAGAATAACATCCCTCTGTCTGACATCCCCTTGCAGGAACCCATTCTCATCACTGACTTTGGTAAGAGCCTAACTTCCTGAATCTTCACAGTGATCCGCCTGTTCTCTGATGTCAGACAATTTAATGTGTGTTGCTTGTTTGCGTCTTCCCACCAGGGCTCAGTGCATCCCAGAATTCTCGCCTGACCTTCCAGCAGTACCTGGAGGTGACGGACAGTGACAGGCCATATAAATGCCAATTCTGCAGTAAGACCTATAAGAAATCAAGCCATCTGAAGCAGCACGTCAGGTGAGTTATTGCATGGTGACACTGGATGTTACCATGTTAAACATGGATGTTACATGTTTAAAAAAATGTTTTTTGGGCTTTACTGTCTTAATACCATGTGTTCATTACCATCATTATGAATATATATTGCAAAGATAGAGCATTCAAATGAGAAAATATATGTTGTCTCATACCTCTGCTCTCAACCATGTATCTTGAACTAAATTGTATATATTTTTTATTCTGATTCTGAGATGTTAATCTGTGTAAAGTGCTTTAAATTGACCTAACTTCTTCCCTTTGCCTCACTGTGAGCAGTGGCTGATATCAGTGGTACATACTATCTTAAAGATGATCAATATCTGCCACTAGTGACAGTTCCTTCGAATCGGTGGTTCTGGAATAAAAAAAGGAACTGTTTTTATCTTTGTTTATGTTTGTTTTGTTTTGGCTCAGTGAAGACAGCTCATGCCAGACCAGGCTTGCAGCTCTGATGTTGCTTAAAGTTCTTCTTCAAACCATTCTCTCTTTATCGCCTCATCTTCAGGTCTCACACGGGAGAACGGCCCTACAAGTGTGTACAGTGCGGTCGAGGTTTTGCGTCTTCTGGAGTCCTCAAAGCTCATATCAGGACACACTCTGGCCTGAAGGCGTACAAGTGCCTGACGTGCGACACAACGTTCACTACCAGCGGAAGCCTGCGGCGTCACATGACTACCCACAGTGACCTACGACCTTACATGTGTCCATATTGCCAGAAGACGTTCAAGTCATCGCCCAACTGTAGAAAGCACATGAAGACACACAGGTTTGGCTGTTGTCTGTGTTTTTACCGTCAGATATCTGATCAGTATTTCCAGAGTAGGTTTTCTGATTTTCTATTCCATCGAAAACAGGTTTGAACTGGCTCAGCAGCTGCAGCCACAGACATCAGAAGACCCTCTTGAATCCAGCACTGTGGCCCATGACATACAGGTAGAAATAGAGAGCAGTGACCTGCAGCAAGCATCTGCCTCCTCAGCAGAGCAGCAGAGTATTCTGGGACTGAGTCAGACAGAGGTAGTGAATGGAGGAATGGAGGCATCATTGGGTGATCAACCTCTGGTGCAGGAGGAAGGTAGGAAGGATTATTGTGTTGGTTATGATAATCACAATCCTGATGTTACTGCATTATTAGAAACAGGTATAAAAATGTTGACCTTTTGAGAATTAGAAAAATCAGCAGAACCTCCCCTCTTTTGTCGACAGAGTCATATGTGACGACCCAGCATTCTTTATCTCAGACCATCAGTCAGTTTGAGACGCCAGCACTTCCTCAAACTTCATTTGATCAGCAAGGGCTGACGCAAGGTATTTATACACACACACACACACACACACACACACACACACACACTGCGCTGACTGTTTCATATTTGACACTGAACCATGGAGATCTGTGGACGTCAGTGAAATTTTTTTACTGAGTTTAAAACTACACAGTCATACAATCTTAGTCACTTGTTTCATACCGATTGACGATTTGAACATCCATCAGAAATTTGTTGAAAGTGACAACACAAAATGTCTATGAATAAACAACACCATTTTATTATTTTTAAATGAATTATCTTTTGCTTTAAATTAACCTGTTAGGAAGTGTGTAAATATGAGCTTCAGGTACAGGGAAAATACAATTTCTCATATTACAGCCATATTCTAAGCTGAAATCAATAAAAACATCACTAATTATTAAATAAAGTCTCTGTCTTGTCACTGCATTAGTGAGATTTAGACAGCAGCTGACTGTGTGATGATACCACTGCACATCTATTGATTGCATTTGTGCAAGTATTTACTTTGTATTTTCCTGTCTCCATGGGGACGGTCTTAACAGTGTGAGCCAGTGCAGCTAACTCCAACCAACTTCCCATCATGCCAACTCTCTTTTGCTGCCTCTGTGGACCTGGTTCCTCTGGGAACAGTGTCCACCAGGCAGCAGAGCAAACATCTGTCAGGCCGAGCTACCATTTAAATTCTCCCTCCAGGCATTTAGGCTGTTTTTGACAAGAGCAGACCAGGGTTTTTATTATTGCAGGGACAAGGCCACAAGGTTTGTGTTTAACTCATCTGTACATTTAAGCAGAAGTCTTCTCCTGAGCATTTAATCACATTTTAATCTATAGTACATTCATTTCAGGTCATTATTGGC